CTTGTATATTAAGTTTTTCATTTTTATTTTTCACTTCACCAGTTAAAGCTATAAGACTCATGATAGAAGGGTACTACCTCTATCATTCATTACTGTAATAAGAAATAAAAAATGGCATTATAAATGATAAATCCCAAGGGGGGAAGAATGGAGAGGCCACTCAGGATCAGCTGAATGGGTGTGTACGAAACTTTAATGTTAAGTATTAAAGTATCTTACTTATCAAGCAACTAGCATAGCAGGCTCTATACGGGGGTGTGACATACACCATGTCTAGTTCACACAGCAGCACCCAAATACAAAGTCGGCACCATTTTATAATAGATGAATCTATGACTCAGAAAAGATTTTAGAATTTATCAACATTCCCATGACTAGTAATATTGGAACCAAGATTTAAACTTAGAATAATCTGTACCAAAATACCCAACCCCACACTTCCTCACATTTAAAAGGTCGATGGTCCATATAAGTAAATCTAACAGTTTTAGGGTACTTCCTAAGAGTCAGGCACTTTTAAATATAATATTGCCTATAGCTTCATTCCATTAAGATTAATTCTATGCTATCATAATTCTGTGCTCTACATCGGAAGATAACATTAGATGTACTTACATGTCTAAAGCTTAAAATACAAAAAATGTATTTACTAGTAGATTAAAGCATAGATATGATACATTGGTCAGGAACTAATTAGTCTTTTTCATCATCAATTCTCCCCGTAAATTCTTCGAATCATTTTTAAGTGCTCAAATTTTCCTTTCTCTTTTTAAAAACAGTTCTCACATTAGCACAGCTATAGATTTTTAGAAAAATTGTTAAGATGGCACAGAGAGGTAATCACATATACCCCACCCCAGTCCCCACTGTTAATGTCTTGATAGTACAGTAATTTGTTACAATTAATGAATTGGTGTCAACACACTATTCAAATGTCCTTGGAGTTTACCCAAGGATTTTTTTCTGTTCCAGGATCCTATCCATGATGCCGTGTTATAACTGTCATCGTGTTTCCTTAGGTTCCTTTCGTCTGTGACTATTTCTCAGATTTTCCTTGCTTTTCATGACCTTGGCAGCTTTGATGAGTGGGAGAACTGAACAGGTACTTCACAGAATGTCCCTAAATTTGGGTTGGTATTTTTCTTCATGATTACACTTGGGTAATGTGTTTTCAAGGGGACGATCACAGAGTAAAGTACCATATCCATTACATCTTATCAAGGGAACATTTATTACTAACATTTTAAATTGGCTATCAGTATGGATCACCTGACTGAGATAATGTTTGTTGGTATTCTCCACCGGATAGTTAAACTTTTTTCCCCTTTTCTTTGTTCTTTGGAAGGAAGTCACTATGTACAGCCCACACTAAAGGACTGGGGAATTATACCCTCTCTCTTTGAAGGGGGGGACTATCTACATAAACTATCTGGAATTCTTATGACAGGGTGATATGTCTATTCTCCCCAGTATATTTGCTTAGGTAATCATTTATTTATATAAATATGGAACCATATTTTGTTTTATACTTTAGATTATACAAATGGCCACGAACTTACAAAGTATCAACTTTCCATTTTTTGACTTTACAAAGGTGTAAGAGTGATACATACTCAGTTGAAATCATACTTCAAAATTTGAATTTCGATTTCTTCCTGAGGTAGCAATGTGCAGTGCTATACCGTCTCACGATGCTGGGCAGCGATGATGAGTCACAGCTCCCAGTCAGACATATGATCATGAGCATACACAGCCCACACGCTTACAACTATTCTGTATCCTCACAACCATTCTGCCTTCCACCTTCAGCATAGTATTCAATAAATTATGTGTGATAGTCAACATTTTATTCTAAGACAGGCTTTACATCAGGTGATTTTGTCCAACTGCAGGCTCCTGTAACTGTTCTGAGCACATTTCAGGTAGGTCAGGCTAAGATGTTATGTTCTGTACATTAGGTGTATTAAATGGACTTCAACTTATGATATTTTCAATTTACGACGGGTTTATAGGGGAGTAAAAACATCGTAAATTGAGAAAGACCTGTAATCCAATATAACTATTTTTGGGTTAAAACTGTTTCAACTTTGGCCATTGGGAGCTCTTTCAGTTAGCTCTCATGGCCCTTTGACACATCTCTGTAATTGTCCAGAGCTGTGTTGCTGCTGCTACTATTTCTGAGCACTTCTTTACTCTCTGCCACTACAGGATGCTCCAGGCTCATCTTGTATACTTTTTGCTATAGTCTTATATGGAGTCATTTCCCCAAGGATCCCTGGTTTCTTTTATTGAGGACCAGTATCAGAAGCCAAGAACTGGCTCTAGATGCGCTCACTGCTACTAGAGAGCGATCACTTTTAGACCCTCTCAGCTAATGAAGAAAGGAAATACATGTGTTTGTACCTACCTATATATATAAAGACATCTATGAATATTTCAAAATGTAACCATCCATATCTAAATTAAACTAAACTTGAGTTAATTCTTACGCCTCCAACTCTAATCCGTGACCACATGGATCATTCTAGCCTCCTACTCTTGATTATTTGTAACTTCTCATTCCTGTAGTGGAAAAGCCTGACTTACAACATCCATTTACTTAATTGTTCAATTCTAACATACACATATAGAGGTATCAGAATTACTAACCTGAACCGCCATGGGAAATGACTTTATCAACTAGAGTACATTACTTATGTACAGTTTCTTTTACCTTTGGACTTATACACTCATTTCCAAACTTCTTAGGCACATACTTTTTCCTCCACACTGTTGAATAATACTGTTTTATACATTTGCAATACAGTTACACTGCTTTGTCATATTTTGCACTCCATCCTGGGAACTCACAATCTCCTAAATTATGTTTTCTAATTCTGTATACATTACGGTTCACTTTTTGCTCTATGTAGTTCTGAGGGCTTTGACACAGGGATAGTGTCATGTACCCAACATTAGAGTATCATAATGAATACTTTCACCACTCCCTACTTAGGAAAATACCAAATCAAAAGCAAATGAAAAATTAAAATAATACAAAAATCAATCCTGCATACCTGGAGAGACTGCAGAGATTGGTGCCACCATCAACTCTCGAACATAACAGAGGTAGTGCTCAGCCAGATTCAGCAGATCTAATGGTGCTTGAAGTGTCACTGGCAATAGCGATGCTCTTTAGATCTCTTGGCAGGCTCCTACAAGATAATCACATTGCAGACCCAGGATTTTAAAGTAAAGTCCTACCACCCTCTCTGGATAACTGTTCCCTTTTTGGAAAACAGTTTTGGACTTGCTGTTGGACCTTAGTTGAACCATAGGCCATCAAGTTCCATATGACCTGAACTGCTCATTATGAACTTGGTGTTGTCTAAGCCACTAAGCCACAAAGTTGGCCAGGCACACCAGCAATACCTCATCAACTGGAAGTTATATATATGAGATCAGGCTCAGGTAGGCCCTGAAGGCACAAATAAGTTACATAATGAAGTGGCATAAATGGTCCCCACTCCTCCTACATTACCTTCTGTCTTCTGGCCTCCATATATAGACTCACAAGAAGTTCTCTACAATCACTTGACAGAGAGAAAACTTAGGTCTGGTTTACTGGTTCTAGGCACAGAGGTACCACCTGGTAGCTGACAACTGCAGAAATATAGTCCTTCTCCAGGACATCCTTGAAGGACAGTGGTGGAGGGAAACCCTCCCAAGTGGACAAGCCCTTGAGCAGTGCACTAATCATGTTTAGTGCTTTTAGGAGATGGGTGATACCTCTGAATCCACAAAGTACATGTTTTTGAAAAGAAAAAGTTTAATCATTCTTCAAAATGTCCTTAAATTTTACTCAGTTGGTTATTAGATACGAGAATATTTTGTACTACAGTATTAGGTTGAGTGTTTGGAAAAGACAATCAAACTTGAAAGGTCAAAATGTAATTGTTTTTAAAAATGTTGGACCAGAAACTTGTCATGAGTATGGTAATGATAATACCAATGTAGAATGTATTTTTGTATCTCTTTCCCCAGTAGTCTGTTATATAATCCTTAGGGAGCAAGTAATTTTTCATAATGATAGTAATTGCAATAGAGTTTAAAGTGGCTGAAAGCCAAGGCCATGTCAAAATTTTATGTCAAAAAATGGAAAGGTAAAGAGAGGAGGAGGCAGAGGAAGAAGAACGTAGTGAAGAAAGGGAAAATGTGCGTATTCTATCATCACAGACATGGAATGAAGGTTAAGTCTAAGAAGCTTAAGACAACTATCATGAAATTTGCATTCTAGCATCTTTTTTTTTTTAGTGTGAAGTGTTATTTACTTTAGCGTGTTGTGACAGAAAGTAGAGAATATTTCATTGTTTATTATCTCTTCTAACATTCTAAACACATTTGACAGCACTATCATGGGGGAATTCAGTGATCTATACCTATTTTTGCACTTTGCCAAAGGTTGGCATAACGTTTTAATCAACTATAAAGCAAACCTTGCACAGCCACAAGGAGAAAAGCAATTGTCTCCTTGTCAAAGATTCCCATAAAGTAACATCCTTTCCAATATCAGAAAGTGAGCCTGGTGTAGAATACAATATAATAACAATTGTATATTATTCTATAGTTTATAAAGATTTTCCACATAAAGCATCTCACTTGTAGCAACTTTTTAAAGGAAGAATCATTAATATACTAAATAATTTGCCCAATTCACGGTTCATATGTAATGGGACCTTACTGACTACTGGAAAGAAAAATCTTACCATTGCATAATCAAGAAGTCCTAGAAGTAAAGGAGCACCTGAATTTTAAAGACCCAAGTAGACCCTTTCTGTTCTTTTATGTGGCACAGAGATGGTTGACCTAACATGATCAGCAGTCTCCCAGAGGGAAGAGTCACTCTTTTCCATATTTTCTGATGTTTACAGACCTCCTGTCTCATCAGGATACATTCTAAAATATTACATTCTTACAAAGGAGAGAGGTAATCCTGGAAATGCTTAGGAATCTTTTTTCAGAAAAAGTTATCTTGCTAAATTTTGGGATACTCAAATGCTGTTTTCATAAAATTATTTTTATGTAGAATCCTAGACAGAAACTACAAGCCATATGAAGGATAGCAAGACACCATTTTCAATTACTAAAAACAATTTTGATGGAGGTAAACAAAAAAACTTAAGCTGTATTCAAGAATTAGTGTAAGGTCCTCAGAGGTATGGACTATGCTTCATTCATCTAGATAGCAGTTACATGAGAAATTAACTCAATTCAATGGTAGCTTCCAAGTATACTATTATGAACATCACTGTGGAACACTGCTGTCGTGGAACAGAATGGTTCACAGACTGAGTTAAAGGACTGAAACCACAAAGACTCCCAAATCAATTTAAGAAACAAAGAGTAAAGCCCTTGGGTAAGTTAACACACTGAGGATGAGGTACAAGTGGATGGAAGAACACACCACCTGAATCCAGAGTACCCAATATTCATTTATATCCCAGCACTGGCCCACATAAGCCATTCCAATAGCATAATGTTTGAATTACATGTATTTATATTAATTAACATGCATTTTACACAAATATGTGTCTTTAGTTACAAAGACCAGAGTTGTGGTTAAACAAAAAAGCTCACAGACAGAAGGTTCCCTAGGCCAATGATGTACACTTGCTCTTTCAGAGACTCAGGGACAAGGTTGCCTGACCAACAGCTGTAGCTTGCTGAATAGCTATGGGTTTTACTGGTGTTTTAAGGTAGAGGACATATGAAGTTAGACTAGGTATCAATAGGTGGTCAAATTAAGGCATTATGGATATTTAAATACGTACAATGACATGTGACATAGATAGAGATACACATATAGATATGTATTAGAAACATACAATATGGTATATATATTTACTATTTCATGAATATGAAGTATGAAATATCTGATTCCTCTCATCCCTTTCTACCCATTCTTAACAAACCTTATTATGTATTTATACCTGACACATCTTATGAGTTTCATCCATCCCATTAGCCTTCTTTTTTCTAAAGCAGAACTGAATATTCAGAAACAACAAAGAAATTCACATTGCAACAGCCCCAGACTTATTACTCTGGATAAGCCTAGTAATGCAGCACTTCCTCATGCAATCATTCTCCATTTTGCATTTCCAAATGTCCTCAACACAATGACAACGAATTAGCTTTAGTCAATGAAAGAAGGATTTCCCATACCCTATATAAAGACTGTAGTATCATTTGGAAAATGTATAATATAAAACATAATTAGACTGTGAAAGATAACTTGTATATGAGAAAGGAAATAATATGACTAGTTGTAAAATAAACAACGC